TCGTCGTACTGGCGACAGCAGATCAGTGAGAAACAACGAGGCGCACTTCTACGCCGCGTATCGGAATTTCGCAATTGCTTCGGCGGATGTCTGAAATATTCATACCGGAAAGCTATAACTTTAAAAAAAAGCAGATAGTGTTTTTCGAAGGTAATATTTTCATTCTTTGAGATCCGAATTAATTTCGACGAATAATTCAACGTTTTTGCCTTTGCTTTAATAATGGCAAATTAAAAAAATGAATGTAACAATCAATTTTCATTATTTAAGAAATTTTATAAAGATTAGAAAAATATAGTTCGCTGGATTGTCGCGTGATGTCGCGTTCGACACAGAAGCGCGATGGGTTTAATAAGAAAGATACAAATTATAATTTCTTAAATAAGTTTAGGAAGAGAGCAAAGGGAGAGAATCTGTATTTTGAAAATAAGTTTATTTTTTTGCCCTCAATATGAAATTCCAACAATAATACGAAATTGTTCGAACGTATAGCAGCTTGATCCCCGGATACGGAGTTAAACGATAAAAAAGTATGGGCGCAATTCTCGGTCCGATATTGTTTTATGCAGCGCAGCGGTGCTTCCATAAATTGCGCGGCCGCAGCCGTGCTGTAATTAAAAAAAGCATATCCCTGCGATTCGCTAGGGTCGATTCGTATGCACCGACACGGAAAATATTCGCACGCGACACCGGGCGAATATTCACCGAAATTAGAAGTCGTTAAAGGATATAGAGTTTCGGGGGTCGCATTCGGTCACCCGTGAAATTTAACTTACAATTCAAACTGGCCGTATTATGAGAATCCATTTAGTCCGCTTTTACCGGCATGATACGATGTCATTATCAAGCGTATGTATATTGTGAAATTGAAATGGTTTATTTAATTCCATAGTGATAAAATTGACGTAACGGGCAAAAATGTTAATAAAGTGCTGTGACATTTTGCGGAAGAAAGAGCAATGTTTGGATAATTTTATTTTTCTCCGCGATATTCAGGTGGTTTCAATCGTGCCGTTTCAATTTCGAATTGCGATATTGCCGCAATAACAATAAATATAAAGATCAAAAGAAAAATATTGAGGGAAATATATCTGGATTTCACTCACATAAATGCACATTTTCGCCATGATCGCAGTGAATGCATTAAAATGTCAAATTTTGCGGTGTTTTACACCGCACGGTAGAGTAAATCGCATCGTATTTATGATATGACCGAACCGGTAATTCGAAGTGAAACAGCGTTGACAACATCTGCCAACTCTCGTACACATGATGTAAACATAAAACGCACGTGCGGATACGCGAAATATCGGAATCCCGGTGAATTGTACATTTCCGTCAATCTGTCGGGCCTCGCCGAATGTATCGGCTAATGTTGCGCGTCACTAACGTTTACCGAAATCCAGAACCATAACAACGCGCATAGAAGTTTGCGTATAATTCTATTTAGGAAAACATCACGTTTCGAACATTTTCAATATTTAATCGCATTTCATTGAAATAACGACAATGTGATTATATTAAATAAAACTCTCCATAAAAACATTTGTAAAATAACTAAATGATACATAACACAATTATTTTAATGGTTAAATTACATTCTTTGCAATTGTATTTATGATAAACAAACAGTTCTCTGTATAAATATTTGCGACAATGTCTGGCGCAATTTCTCCTTTTTTCATGACAAATTTTATACGACAGATTTTTTTTTTTTTCAGGTAATTTCATTTCCGATATTTTTCTTACGATTTCTGCTGACATCCGCGCAGATAAAATTAGTAACCGGTCATCGCCCACCATTTTTACGGCGCGTACCAACACGTAGAATTGTTACATAGGGTATGTTCATGACAAGGATCCGAGATTACCACCTTTACGAGTCCTAGGAGGCCGCTTCTGTCGGGGACAGCCAGCGGCGGGATTAGCCACTCTCCTCGTTGTCCCGCGGTACTACTTTCAAATTAGACGGAACACCACGGTGGAAGAGAGCACGAGCGAGCAAAAGAACGCAAGAGGGGGCCTTTCTGCGGTCGCAATTTCGCGGCGACAATTACGTGGCGGCAACGAAACGGTCGCTCAACGCGCTGTAATACCGCTGCAGCGCGGATAGCTAGTGAGATTAAACCGCGGCTTACTTAACTAGAGTGTCCGTCTGAGAAAGATTTTCGAAATTCTAATGTACTTCTCGCAACTTTGTTACTATTTTTGATCAAATTCCGGGATCTCCATTAACTACACGTGGAAACATCGAATATAATTTTATTGAATCACCTCTGTGAGGGATTCTATATCTCATAAATAATTCTGCGATTTTATTTTATTTTATTTTATTAAGCAATTAAACGAACGTGAAATGAAACTGTTTCTAGCGTCTCGCACTGTTTGTTTTGACATACAAAAATTTCCATGTTACAATGAAAATTTAATATATTTTCAATATTTCCATTGTCCATTTCCATTAATATTGTCGGTAAAATGTGAATAATTCCACGTTTGGTATTAAAAATCCACATGCGTAAAAATGAACAAAGAGAAAGCACATAAATCCTTTCACAAATACTTTTGTTTACCACAAGTGCTTGATTTATAGAGCGCTTCGCCCGTGATTGCGCTATCGAAAAATCTGTATCAATATATCGCGCGCGCATCTCCTACATATTTTACATGTTAAAAACGTCACATGTCTTTGTCAATCAATATTACAATCCCGATATCGAGATGGAGATCCGCACTGCACGCCGATCGGTATTTGTTATATACTGCTCGCGCTTTTATTTTACAACGGGCAGAGATTTTTTCGTATTTATTTTGAGTGGATTTTTTATCGTACACTCGCCAAAAAACTCGCGGCGCGGACAAAATTCGAAGTTAAACGTCACTTTACAATCCAAGCGGGGCGCATCGCAGATACACGGTGAATGAAATTCGTATTTTTCCCGTATCAATATTTGCAAAACTTCTCTGTATCCGATCAAAATCCCAGCGTCGCAGGCTATCAACGATAAAGCACGTTCGGGGGGCAACTGGCAAAAAATATTTTATCGTCGTTCCAGCGTGATGGACTATAATCAAAGTCGATCGCTCGCTACAACAAGGTTGCAACTCAAAAAATAAAATTTTTTTGAAGTGCCCGGTTGATGGATGGAGCATACATATTTCTTGCTAATAAAACGAAGTTACATGTCAAATAGAATCAATTGAAAAAAAATTATTCTAACACAGATTCATATTTTATATCTTAGGACGGCATATTTATTGAAAAATGTTTCACAAAACTTTATTTATTTTTTTTAAATCGAGATATTGTTTATTTTTTTAGCTCTATATTTTGAAAAAATTAATCTCTTTTTTATCTATAAAAATCTATTTTGCAACAAGCTATCAATGTGTAATGCGCGTGGTGGATAAATTGGATTAGTCAATAGATTGAAAGGCGATGCACGTGGAAGGGTGGGAGTTTAAATTTGTTCTTGGCACTTGCTCAGCTGACGTTGCTGGAGATAGTGCAAGAGTGGATAATTTACCTGATTATTTAATAGCCTTTTGGCTACGGCTACGAGCTATGAACGTTTATAGCACGCATACTGTGAGACGGCGCGACGTGCGCGCGACGTTGCCAACTTTTATGAATGGAATTATGATATAACGTCGACACGGAATTGTGCTATTTTGGAATCACGTTACAATACACTGTAAGCACTCAAAGTAGCAAGTGGTAAAAGCAATACTCATGTGTGCGTACAGTAATTTGATTATTAACTGATAAATATATGATTTGTTACATAAAATTGTACAAGAAATTAAATCTGATGAGAATAAATAAAAAGTAGTGAAGAAAGGAGAAAACATTTGAGAAAAATTAAGTTTCTCATATTTATAATATTAAATTTACTTATACGCAAAATATCTTTTACATTTGTTCTTTTTAGAAAATAAAATGTCACCATATTTGTACGTTTCCCACGAGCTTTTACGACAGGAACATAATTATGGCATTCGTAAATATGGTAGTTTTGATATTATTTGCGCAGCTCTTCAATTATATATTATGGTCAACATCGTGCCTCGTGCCGTACCATACACGTCCCAGAATGGGATTCCATATTAAACCTTTCACCGGCGGATTACTCATTACCGCGCTAACAACCTCGAGAGCGTGCCAACCTTAATCACGATTCACAAATTAATCTCGCAGCACCGCCGACCGACGGTATCGTTTGTTGACGGCACCGTCTAGTCAAATATATTACTAGTTAGGATCCGGAAGACGTGTGAGTAAGTTATGATTGTGTGCACGGAGATTACCCCTCCGACTTCAGCAAATATATATCCGTTGTACTGGTTGTAATTTAATCGGTGGAATGTCGAGAATTCGACGCGTTAACCCTCGCAAATCTCTTCTGAGAATGAAAAAATGGCCGGAAAAATGATTGAAGTCGACGTAAAATGATGGTAAAAAATGAAAATATTATTACTGGAATTCGTATGTAATTTATATTGAAAGAGTTAATTTTGCGCTGAAAATCATCGTCTCATAAGTATATAAGAAAAAAATAATATATAAAATAAGCATTGTAACATTAAATAATAACAGGGTAAAAAATGATTTTTTATGTTTCTTATACTTCATAAAATATCTGCGCTCCATAAATTGACCATCGCAATTAAAGTTTAAATATAGAAGCTGTATTAAGGTCAAATTGACCGGAAGTGTGCGTGAAGATTAATTTAATCTTTCAGCAGAGCTTAATTCACTCTCGACTTAGCATCGATATTGAATCGATAACGGTTCGTTTCACGGTGAACTCGAAGCAAAACCGTAAAATCTCATCATAAGAATGCTAATTGCTGCTAATTGCGAAATTTTTTAAAATATCGATGAAAATTTTTTCCAAGAGGTTCGATAATTCTGGCAGCACTTCCACATGGTATTTTAATAATTATAAATGTTATTATGGGCCAAGGCTTACAATTGACGAGAATGGACCTTTTTACAGGTGGAAATGGCGATGTAGAGGATTCGGAATACGACGTGCAGGACTACAGCAACGCTGAGGACTACAACGATGTTTTCGACTCGACCACTAATGGGTGAGTGTTGTATACTTGCAACCCCTATCGCCTTATCGTCTTATCGTGAGATTAAATACGGAACATATATCCGTCTAACTAGCACCGTGTTTAATTAGCAATTAAAATTACTATCGATCGCGTCCATTCGCGATGACCGAAGACTTCCTGCCTGTGTCCGGGCGAAATTGCCGAGACAAGCAAGAAAACCAACTCGGGGAGAACCCTTTTTAATTGCATTACGGTTTCGCACACACGTACACTCCCACCTTTTTGCGGGAACTCTTTATTAGTAACAATGGAAGACGAGATGAGAATACTTTGGAGTTTATTGAATCGCGTGAAAGTATGCTTTAGAATAATCGGCTTATTCAGAAGCTTGAAAAGAATGCAAGCAGACTGTTTGAAATTAATATAAACGCATACTATGCATATATTTAATTCTACTTACTTTTATTTAAATATATTATGTAAAAGATAATTGATGCGATAGCAAGTAACATTTTAAATTCATCTATAGCTTTGAAAGAGAATTAAAGAAAAATATAAGAAATTGGCAATTGTAAGCAAATTTTACTGAAGCTTCACAATATCTCTACAATAGCGATTGAAAAAGAAATATAGGTATTAGGAGTAACGACTCTTATTTCAGAAGAAAGCGCAGAAAGTTGAAATTTTTTGGTCGCGTCTTTGGCGATCCGATCGGCTTCAAACGCGGCTTCAGGTACGACAATGAAAAGGACAATAATAATGTATACCGAGGGCAATATTAGGAGGGGAACGAAAGACATTTCACAGATTCGGTTCTGTAGTATGACGGGAAACCGAGACGAGGATAGGGGGAGAGGAACCCCGCGGGGCTTAATAAGGAAGCGACTTGATTGGTTCGATTCGAAAGCTAATAATGCCACTTCCCGTGTAGGCAAGCGCTGTGGAACTGCAAAGGCTGCATGATTAAATTTGAATTCTCTGTCTCCACCCACCCGCCTTCTCGCGACTAAGCTAATTTGCGAAGGACGCGTCGATAGGAGCCAATCGAAATTCCACAGTTCAAATTTCATATCCGCGCTTTCCTCGGGCGCGGGGTCCCCGGATCTGCGAAGTCGCTTCCGACAGGTTTCTCGATATGAGTTTACAGCGGGAAAAATATATTCGAAAATTCCCATCGTAGGAATGTCCCTTCGCGCCCGAGACGTCGAGTAGAAAAGTCGCGCAATTTCCGCGTGGCGGGCCGTGCCGCGCGAATTTTCTCACCACGGGGAAATCGATATTGACGTCTCGTCGCAATAAATCAGTTTTGTCGTTACATTAGAAAATTTAATATTTGAAATCAACGTCGAGTGGGCGGAAAAAGTTGAAAATTCATCGAGAAATAAGCGCTCGAAATGTCACTTGGTGGCTCTGGGCCCATCCTTTACGTGCCAAAATGTGCCGAAAGTTTGAATATGTAATGTCTTTTTAATTTCCTGTTTCTGCTTTCGAAAAAATCTTGTGCTGTCGAATAGGAAAGTCTCGCAATTTCCACGGTTCGAGACTTCTGCAATTTTCTTTTCTCAAGAATTCGATATCGACATCCCGTCGCAATAAATCAGTTTTGTCGATGCTTTAGAAAATTGAATATCGAAATCGATATCGAGAAAAGGAAAGAGAAAATCTAAATCCCCTTTTTTTAAATTAAAATAATTTATGTTCGAATGCATATCGGATATTATTGATATTTTAACATATAAACTTGAATCAAAATTCGATACGGACACATCGTGTCCAGATATTCTAGTGCTCGGAAGTTTCAAGTAGTCGAGCAGTTCAGACAGTTCGAATCTCGAGATCGAACGTTTAGACTTTTCGAGCTGAAAGTATGTTCGAATAGTTTAAATTGTTTGAAAATTCACAGAAGTTGTTATATTTCAGAGATAAATCTTATAAAATAATTGGATATCAAACAAATCTTTCAATATATTTTAACAATATTTAATAGTCTTTAACTGTATTTTAAGCTTAATTATTTGTGATGCACAAATATCTAGGTATAATCCGTCCAAAATTGAATTCAACATTGTGTTATTGATTTCTGGTACAAATACAAATCAATATGCGGAATGTAAATTTACGGGGTTGTATATCCGACACGATAATACACTCGTCGTTATTGAAATTACACGCCATAAAATCCGCACGCGACACCTTGCTTCCAAGACAGCGTATATATCTTGAGCCGTTGAAATTTATATCTTCCTTGCGCGGAGTCGTACTCCAGAAAAATAAATTTTGGGGATCTATATAGTTATATGCACAACTATGTACAATCTTAATACCGCAGAATCTTCATTTATTCCGCGCCGATGTCCGAGTGAATTATTATCCTGAATAAAATATATAAATTTTTATAAAACGCGACGTTTATCCTATCTTAAAAAAAACATGGAAGATTTTCATTGTTGCCTTTTTTCCACGATACTGATACTGTATGGTTATCTCGAGGCACGTTGTGCATTGTTACTTTCTGCTGTCGAGCTGTTGTCATTGCGAAAGTTACATACTTTGAAAATTCATACCTTGACGAAGTAAGTAGTTAAATTATATTTAAAAGAGAAACCAAACGACGTAGATTTTTTTGCTTAAACATTAATTTTTACACATGATTTATACGGCTTGCGATTGGTATTGTTTTGTGTTTTATAGAATATATTTAAAATGTCTTTTTTGAATCTTGATACATTTCCGAATTTTTTGTTTTAATCTTTTCTGAAGTATGTCAAAGACGCAACTCTATTGCCTTAATATAAATGCTCATTCGAAATTCGGTGCGATTATTTATTTTCGAATTATTCTATATTTTACATCTTTGTAATAACTTAATCACAAGTTTAAGTAATTTTTACACATTTTTACACGTGAATAACAAGACTTGTGTTAAATAACGTTATAGTGCTACAAATTGCAAAAATAATGATGGTATAATAGATAAATAATGATGATATTATATTATTTTTTTTAAACATATAATTATAATATATAATTCTTTGTAACTAAAAAGCTAAATAGCGCGCACAGTACGCACTTGTGTCTCTAATTTAATAAAATCACTTAAGAAAAAAAAGTCCATTTCTCTATCAAAATCTATCGAAATTTATAAAAACTCTTATTTTCACTCAATATCACTCAAAAAAATGATCTTGCAATAATAGCTAAAATTTTCTAGGTGTAAAAAATTAACTAAAACAGATAAATGATTAGCAACTGTTGTGATATTGCATATGTAATTACTTAATCAGTTTAGATGACAGAAATAGAATATATATCTGTATTGTTTGTGAACTTTAAAAAGAAAGTTTCTCTAAAGCGCCTATCTATATAAGATCAATCACGTGTTAGATCATGCAATGAATAACATTTAGCAATGATACCTAAATTTTTCAGAAGCTATTGCTAGAACATTACTGCTATAAATTCTATATGTGACAAACAATGTTTTCACAGATACGAAAAATAGCGATACATTCTTGTTGCGATATCTAGAAATCTAACTACATCAGCGAAATATTTTTTTGAGTGATATTCTATTCTATTTTATTCTATATACATTATTATCCTATTCTATATACATTATTCACAAACGCCGAAATTATTTTTGTGCGCAGATAAATAACTCTGTCAAAATGCGTTTTAACAAAAATATTTAAAATATTTAAAATATTACATATTCTCCATTTAAATACGAGTATTTAAAATTAAGCTTAAAGTTTTAAAAACTATAATTATTCAGCAAATAAGAACAGAATAATGATACGAAATTTAAACCAATAATTCGGGGCACTTTGTAAAAAAAAATCGACGATGATGTCATATCCGAAAATAAATCAGAATAAATGCATACACGTAATAATTTGTTTATGCACTCATATCAGTTGAGTCAATTATATCTATTTATTTCTACAATCAGCATATTTAAATGCATTTAACGCAGTTAAATAATTCGAAAAAATACGCGTTTTTCTCGATATAACCATAATTTGAAAGTAGTTTTATTTTATATACATAATTAATATATTATTTGTGCATTATTTTTCGCAAAACCGTATCTTTGTGTATATCCTGTAACGTCTCTTTCGCTGAGATTTTATTACTATACATACTCGACATAAGATTGTTCTCGAGTGTTTTGTTAATTGTTACCTAGATTTGACTGACGTATCAATATTGACATTGAAATGGAAAATCATGCGTCTTCTTTTTGTTTTCTTTTATACTTTTCGGCAGAAAGGTTCTTGTATCGTATTCAGTTACACGCGTCTAGTCACTTCAAACGGACACAATGTCACGCGTAACTAAGAAACATATATGGGAATATTATATAAATCTGACGGATTTTCAAGCACAGTGCAAGTTTTGTGAAATTAAATATATTTATACGCAAGATGGATATTTTAAAACACATATGAAAAAACACCATGAAAGAATTTGGAAATACGAAGAAGAGAGAAGACTAATAAAATGGCCATGGATGTATTTCAAGTATTCAAACCAATTATTTTTACAATGTATTATCTGTAATGAAAATTATTCGTCTATATCTAAATCTAAAGATTTAGAAGATCACTTAAATTCGCATTCTGAAGAAGAACGGAAGAATCATATACTTCATAGTTGGGCATGGAAATATTGGACACAACGAAATGATTTTCAGGTGAAGTGTAATATTTGCAACAACAACATATCTCTTCAAATTCAAAGACATCTGGATTCTCATATAAGAAAGACACATTCGGACAAATTGAAAATTATGCAAGAAACACATGACCCAGTTGATTCGTCAGAACGTGTTTTATCACTTGAAACGAACATAACTTTTATGCCACTAGATATTGCAACTAAGAAACATATATGGCAATATTATATAAATCTGACGGATTTTAAAGCACAGTGCAAGTATTGTGAAGTTAAATATAATTATATAAGTGGTTCAAACTTTAAACGTCACATAAGAATATTCCATAAAAAAATTTTGGAATTCGAAGAAGAGAAAAAACAAATAAAAGGGCCATGGATGTATTTCAAGTATTCAGATCAACTATTATCACAATGTATTATTTGCGATGCAGATATTCTGTCTACATCTAAATCTGAAGATTTAGAAGATCATTTGAGTTCGCATTCTAAAGAACAACGGAAGAATCATATCCTTCAAAATTGGAAACGGAAATATTGGACACAACGAAATGATTTTGCGGTGGAGTGTAATATTTGCAACAACAACATTTCTTTTGATATTCAAAAAAATCTCGATTTTCATATAAGAAAGACACATTCGGACAAATTGAAAATTATGCAAGAAACACATGACCCAGTTGATTCGTCAGAACGAGTTTCATCACTTGAAACGAACATAACTTTTATGCCACTAGATATTGTAACTAAAAAAAATATATGGGAATATTATATAAAGCTGACGAATTTTGAAGTACAGTGTAAATTTTGTGAAAATAAATATACATATATAAATGATGGAGGCTTTAAATATCACATAAGAAGATTTCATAAAAAAATTTTGGAATACGAAGAAGAGAAAAAATTAATAAAAGGGCCATGGATGTATTTCAAGTATTCAGATCAACTGTTATCACAATGTATTATTTGCAATTCAGATATTCTGTCTTCATCTAAATCTGAAGATTTAGAAGATCATTTGAGTTTGCATTCTGAAGAACAACGGAAGAATCATACCCTTCAAAATTGGAGACGGAAATATTGGACACAACGAAATGATTTTGTGGTGGAATGTAATATTTGTCACGCCAAATTAAAACTTTATTGTCACCCGTATTTGGATTTTCATATAAGAAAGACACATTTGGACAAATTGAAAAATATGCAAGAAACACATGACCCAATTGGTTCATTCGATCGCATTTCATCACATGAAACGGACACAACGTTTATATCACTAAAAGATTGTCATGTATTGTTAAGGAGATGTCCACCTTATAATCTTTACATATAAAAAATATATACAAAATTTTAATCTCGGAGAACAGTATTCATATTGCAACTCATTTGCGTGAAATGTATTATTTGTGATAAAAGCATTTTATTTTTATTTAAAAATTTAGAAGATTATTTACGCATTCTAAAGAAATTTAAAAACATACATTTTACAGTTGACTATATACGAAGGTACATACCAAAAGTAACGATTGAAATAAAGTAGTACTTGTCACAGAAGCATATCTGCTACTATTAGAACGCATTTCAATGACCATATAAAAGATGAATATCATTTGGCAAGCCAACTAAACTGAAAAAAAATAGTGTAAGTTTTAATGATATTTGTGTTAATATTAGTATGTATAATTAATTTTTCACCATTTTCAAATCGCGTTTAATTTATTAAAAATATACAATATAATGATCACAGCATAACTAGACATTTTTTTTTTTATGTGAATGTTATAATTGTTTATATAAATTTATTCTCCCCCAGAAGGTGACATGATAGAAATGAGTATGATGATAACGGCGTCCAAGTACCAATCAGCAATAATGGCAGTCTTAATTTTGACGATTTTAATTTACTAAAAGATATATCCACGAAAAGTGGCGTAATATAGATCTGACGTATAATTATTTGTTTCATGTTATAAAATTATGAATATTAGTATAAATCTATGTATCTATATATCTATATATCTATGTATCTATATATCTATATTTTATAATAAACAAAATTACATTTTTTAATATGTTAACTATAATTATGAATTTGATTACGTACTTATATTTAAATTTATAAACTATTTAATTTTATTTGTTATCACGATTTGCGAAATGTCATGCTTTAATAGCACATTGATACATTGTCATGGCAAAACTAATGCGTGCGTTGTAATAGCGAAGGTCAACTCTATAAGGTCATGTGTTATAATTTTTCGATACAACTGCAATATAAATTGTGTATATAATAGAAAAATAATTAGTATATATTAGAAAGGCAATAGAAATAAATTACGAAGAAAGAGAGGGATATTCGCTGAAATAATTATTATTCAGTTTTCTACATATATTGTAGATTCATGTACAGTTTTCTCTAAATATATCAAAAGCTTATTTCTTAACGTCTACGTCTGCATCGAACGTTCTTCGTATCATAATAATATTTTACATTCTTTAGAATGAGTATTGTAAATGAGATGAGTATCCCGCAATAGAGTATTAGAAAAATCAAATGCACTTGTTGCAAATCGATCATTTCGAAATTGTTCTGCTCTTTATTCTCTAGCCTGGTATTTAGCCAACGATCCTTAAGAGCGCCCATTATGCCGACTTTGTTCAACTTGATAAGTCTAGAAAATAAAAGATGACAGAGAAAACAAAATTTAACTCATACAAAATTTTTTTAAATGTTGGACATATAAATAATGACTAATTTATTTGCGCGAGTCAGTGGTTTTCCTGTAGTGGAAGTCTTTCTTAAGTGCGAACGTTATCCAAATCTGATTGTAATTGCCCATAGATTGAAACGAGCAGCCGTACTTGTTCTACATCATAAATCGATCTTCGATCTCAAAGAACGTGTAATTTTTTATGCTGTCGCAGATTTTGCTATGCATCTGTTTTACGATATCTATGAAATGTACACGCTGATTTTGTTCAATTGTATTATTCTCGTATTTATTCGAAAATAATAATCTATGATGTAATAAGATGTCACAGATTATTTAAAAATGCATCTTATATACTTTTTATTCAATCTATTAGTTAGATATATATGCTATCATTTTCTCAAATTTATAGAATACGCAATTTTATTGTATGCCATTATTTTAGGACAATTATATTATTTTAATATTGTGATACAGTTGAGATATTATGACGTCATCGATATATCGAAGTTATTAAATTTAGAATTAGTAGCGATTTCTTATTTAGAAAATATGATTTTTTGATTAGAATTAGATTAAGAAATTAAATAATGCGAATAATGATGGTATGATATATAAATAATGATGTTCTTATAATATTATTTTTCTTAAACATATAATTAGAATTATAATTCTTTCTAACTAAAAAGCTAAACAGCGCGCATAATGCGCGCTTGTCTTCCTCGTTTAATAAAATTACTTAAAAAATTTATTTTTCTATAAGATCTTATTGAAATTTATCAAAACTTTTATCTTCACACAATATATTCTACATTATTCAGAAACGCCGAAATTATTTTTGCATGCAGATAAATAACTCTGTCAAAATGCGTTTTAACAAACATATTTAAACATATTTAAAAGATTTAAAAATTATTAAAATATGTAAAAATATTTAAAATATTAAATATTCTCCATTTAAATCGAGTATTTAAAATTAAGCTCAAAGCCTTAAAAACTATTATTATTCAACAAATAAGAACAGAATAATAATACGTAATTTAAACCAATAATTCGGAGCACTGTTAAAAAAATAATAGACGATGATGTCATATCTGCAAATAAATCAGAATAAATGCATACACATAATAATTTGTTTATGCACTCATATCAATTGAGTCAATTACATCTATTTATTTCTGCAATCCGCATATTAATTGCATTTAACGCAGTTAAATAATTCGAAACAGTACACGTTTTTCTCGATATAACCATAATTTGAAAGTTGTTTTATTTTATATACATAATTAATATATTATTTGTGCATTATTTTTCGCGAAACCGTATCTTTGTGTATATCCTGTAACGTCTCTTTCGCTGAGATTTTATTACTATACATACTCGACATAAGATTGTTCTCGAGTGTTTTGTTAATTGTTACCTAGATTTGATTGACGTATCAATATTGACATTGAAATGGAAAATCATGCGTCTTCTTTTCGTTCTCTTTTATACTTTTCGGCAGAAAGGTTCTTGTATATCGTATTCAGTTACACGCGTCTAGTCACTTCAAACGGACACAATGTCACGCGTAACTAAGAAACATATATGGGAATATTATATAAATCTGACGGATTTTCAAGCACAGTGCAAGTTTTGTGAAATTAAATATATTTATACGCAAGATGGACATTTTAAAGGACATATGAAAAAACACCATGAAACAATTTGGAAGTACGAAGAAGAGAGAGAAGTAATAAAATGGCCATGGATGTATTTCAAGTATTCAAACCAATTATTTTTACAATGTATTATCTGTAATGAAAATTATTCGTCTATATCTAAATATAAAGATTTAGAAGATCACTTATATTCGCATTCTGAAAAAGAACGGAACAATCATATACTTCATAGTTGGGCATGGAAATATTGGACACAACGAAATGATTTTCAGGTGAAGTGTAATATTTGCAACAACAACATATCTCTTGATATTAAAACACAACTGGATAATCATATAAGACACAAACATTCGGACAAATTGAAAAATATGCAAGAAACACATGACTTAGTTGATTCTTCAGAATGTGTTTCATCACTTGAAACGAATATAACTTTTATGCCACTAGATATTGCAACTAAAGAAAATATATGGGAATATTATATAAATCTGACGGATTTTAAGGCACAGTGCAAGTTTTGTGAAAATAAATATAATTATATAAATGATGGAGGCTTTAAATATCACATAAGAAGATTTCATAAAAAAATTTTGGAATACGAAGAAGAGAAAAAACTAATAAAAGGGCCATGGATGTATTTCAAGTATTCAGACCAACTATTATCACAATGTATTATTTGCGATGCAGATATTCTGTCTACATCTAAATCTGAAAATTTAGAAGATCATTTGAGTTCGCATTCTGAAGAACAACGGAAGAATCATATCCTTCAAAATTGGAAACGGAAATATTGGACACAACGAAATGATTTTGAGGTGGAGTGTAATATTTGTCACGCTAAGTTAACTCTTTCTATTCAGAAAAATATGGATTTTCATATAAGAAAGACACATTCGGACAAATTGAAAATTATGCAAGAAACACATGACCCACTTGATTCGTCAGAACGAGTTTCATCACTTGAAACGAACATAACTTTTATGCCACTAGATATTGTAACTAAAAAAAATATATGGGAATATTATATAAAGCTGACGAATTTTGAAGTACAGTGTAAGTTTTGTGAAAATAAATATAAATATATAGATAGTGCAAGCTTTAAAATTCACATAAAAAGACACCACAAAAAAATTTTGGAATACGAAGAAGAGAAAAAACTAATAAAAGGGCCATGGATGTATTTCAAGTATTTAAACCAATTATTTTCACAATGTATTATTTGTAACGCAAAATTTCTGTCTACATCTAAATCTGAAGATTTAGAAGATCATTTGAGTTCGCATTCTGAAGAACAACGGAAGAATCATATCCTTCAAAATTGGAAACGGAAATATTGGACACAACGAAATGATTTTGTGGTGGAATGTAATATTTGTCATGCCAAATTAAAACTTTATTGTCACCGGCATTTGGATTTTCATATAAGAAGGATACATTTGGACAAATTGAAAAATTTGCAAGAAACACATGACTTAATTGATTCTTCAGAATGTGTTTCATCACTTGAAACGAATATAACTTTTATGCCACTAAATAATGCAACTAAAGAAAATATATGGGAATATTATATAAAGCTGGCAGATTTTGAAGCACAGTGTAAGTTTTGTGAAAATAAATATAATTATATAGATAATGGAAACTTTATACGTCATATAGCAAAACTCCATGAAGAAATTTGGAAATACGAAGAAGGGGGAAAACTAAGAAAACGGCCATGGATGTATTTCAAGTATTCAAACCAATTATTTTCACAATGTATTATGTGTGATTCAAAAGTTCTATCTACATCTAAATTTGTAGGAGATCACTTGAATTTGCATTCTAAAGAACAACAGAACAATCACATATTTCGAAGTTGGACAGAGAAATATTGGATACAAAGAAATGATTTTGTGGTGGAATGTAATATTTGTCACGACAACTTACCTCTTTCTATTCAGGAATGTTTGGATTCTCATATAAAAGAGACGCATTCGGACAAATTAAAAAATATGCAAGAAACACTTGACCCAGTTGGTTCATTAGATCGCATTTCATCACATGAAACGGATACAACGTTTATATCACTAAAAGATTGTCATGTATTGTTAAGGAGATGTCCACCTTATAATCTTTACATATAAAAAGTACATACAAAATTTTAATCTCGAAGGACAATATTCATATTTCAACTCATTTGCGTGAAATGTATTATTTGTGATGAGAACATTTTATTTTTATTTAAAAATTTAGAAGATTATTTACACATTTGAAAGAACAATTTAAAAACATACAATTCAGAGTTGACTATATACGAAGGTACATACCAAAAGTCACGATTGAAGTAAAATGTAGTACTTGTCACAGAAGCATATCTGCTGCTATTAGAACGCATTTCAATGACCATATGAAAGATGAACATCATTTGGCAAGCCAACTAAACTGAAAAAAAATAGTGTAAGTTTTTATGATATTTGTGTTAATATTAGTATGTATAATTAATTTTTCACCATTTACAAATCGCGTTTAATTTATTAAAAATATACAATATAATGATCACAGCAAAACTAGAGAATTTTTTTTTTCATGTATATTATAATTGTTTATATAGATTTATTCTCCTCCAGAAGGTGACATGATAGAATTAAGTATGATGATAACGGCATCCAAGTACACCAATCAGCAATAATGGCAGTCTTGATTTTGACGATTTTAATTTACTAAAAGATATATACAAGAAAAGTGGCGTAATATAGATCTGACGTATAATTATTTGTTTCATGTTATAAAATTATGAATATGAGTATAAATCCATGTATCTATATATCTATATATCTATGTATCTATATATCTATATTATATTTTATAATAAACAAAATTACATTTTTTAATATGTTAACTATAATTATGAATTTGATTACATACTTATATTTTAAATTTATAAACTATTTAATTTTATTTGTTATCACGATCTGCGAAATGTCATGCTTTAACAGCACATTGATACATTGTCATGGCAAAACTAATGCGTGCGTTGTAATAGCGAAGGTCAACTCTATAAGGTCATGTGTTATAATTTTTCGATACAACTGCAATATAAATTGTGTATATAATAGAAAAAT